GATGTTGCGATTTTTTACTAGGAATGTCCTTGTAAACTGGGCAATTTGCATTGTTTGGTAATTATTTTGACATCTTCCCTCCTATCTAAGCCAAAAATATTGAATTTATAATCACTCTTACAAAAGGACTGTCCAAGAAGCGATTCAAAATCACCAAGAATCAATGTGAACATTGGAGTGATGGATGTTTGTATAATAAGAGGAATAATCCTTTTTTGCGACTTTAAATTAACCTTTTTGTTCCAAATTGATCATTTGTTATTTCAATTTAACTCTCTCTTTAATGCATTAAAAAACTAGAGATGGTATGAAATATGAGCATTTAAAGTAAAATTCCTGCACATTTGCAATTTTTTAACATAAAATAATTGGGCTCAAAATTCGATTAAAATTAAAAATTAAAAAATATTACTTCTATTAATTTCATATTTTTTTAAACATACAATAATTACCCTAGAAACTAATTATTTTACATTAAAAAAAATCGGATTGTCATGAACCTAGAATCATTTTTTATCTCTAATATTATATAACTCTTTATTTTAATTAATTTCAATGTGGTAGAATACATAAGAAATACCTTTACATTTAAAAAACACTCAAAAGAAGAACCCTTTATTTTTATATTTAATTTTATATAGTTTTAATTGTAATTAATTTTCGTATATTTTATATAGGTGCCCAGTACATATTTATTAAAAAATCTAGTATTAATAATAGAAGAATAATTTATTTTTATATTTAGTTGTATATAACTGTTAATTGTAATTATAATTAATTTTCATATGGTTTTTAGGTTATTAGTGTTTAAATAAATGGTTAATTTTAAATTAAAAAGGCTAATTTGAAGTTAAAAAGAGTTAATTTGACGGACTACAAGAAAATTACTTTACTCGCTACCTCGTAATTTTTAAAACTAAAGAAATAACTTGCAATTAATAAGGGTTAATTTGAGGTTAAAAAGAGTTAATATCAAGTTGATATGAAATGAAATTACAAAACTTTTAGCTACAATTATATAAAAATAATGTTTTAAATTTTTGTTTTCACTTTTGTATGGTAGCATAGGTTCTTAACGTTCCTTGTAACTATAATAAAAATTGACGTTATAACGCAAGGAAAAAAGGAAACATTAAAAACAGAATTTATTAATAATTTTGGAGGGCACTCACAAGTATGTACAACCAAATCTAATTTCGTTATAGAACTACATTTCTATTTGATTTATTTGCAATATTTCTATATACATAATTTATTTAGAAATCGTGAGATGCGGTCTGGTGTGATGTAGGTTTCAGAAAAACATTTTCTTTATCGCGCCAACGTTTCGATCTTTATTGAGATCATCTTCAGTGCCTGGGATTTATAAACATTGTTTACATATTACAATTACATTTTGGATGTGGAAAAGTGAATTTATACAATGCAAAATATATTTTATATATGTTAAACACAAAATAGCAAAATCTCACTGGCACTCTCGACACGACAAACAAGAATGGCACAATTACACAGAAGACAAACACTTTGAGTGAGTAGAAATACTTTGATTGAATATATAAAAAATATATTTTGCATTGTAAGTAAATTCACTTTTCCACATCCAAAAGTAATTGTTATATGTAAACAATGTTTGTAAATCCCAGACCCTGAAGATGATCTCAATAAAGGTCGAAACGTTGGCACGATAAAGAAAATGTTTTTCTGAAACCTACATCACACCAGACCGTATCTCACGATTTCTAAATAAAAATCGATTAACGGTCACTAATCACCACACATATGTACATAATGTCGTTTCTTCGATTTTTTTTTTTTAACTACGAAGATTGAAATTTTCCAAAACACTATTTGTCACTCTTACAAATTGTTCAAATGCGTTTCGAATCAATTGGGGTTTTCAATAAATAATTATTTTCGTCGGAAAAGGAAAGCTCATCGACTTATCATTTTGATATTTTTTTTTATTAGCAATTTTGCCGATATCATCAAAGCTATTTTCGTTTTGTCAGTCGCAATTTCTACACTGGTGAGCAAAATCCTGTTCGTAAGACGAATAAATAGCTCATAATCAGCGTAATCGGGGATTAGCTAATCGCTGGAATAAAAACACTGACTGTTCGCTGTAGACGTTTCTGAAACCATCCGCAACCATTTCAATTAAAACACAGTTTATCGATCCTACCATTAGCGCTCTTCAAACATTTCAGGTTATTGCATATATATTTTTTTAAATGTTGTTCGTCTCTTCAATTTTTATGAGACCTTAATGACCTTAATTAAGGTACAATGAAATTCCGCAACCCTTTAATTAGAAAACCAATTAGGTTTGGTAGATACCTAATTCGGAACGGTATACCAATTTACGAAAACATGTCAGTGATTTGAACTAAAAACAATTTGAACAACTCGGTTCGAACGTAGTAGCAGGGACAGACAATAAAGGAATCAGACTGATAAATATAAACAGAAGACTATTACAATCCCCGATAATAAAAATAAATTTAAATTTTTTAAACAATTGAACCAAAGGAAGGTGAACGGAAATATTAGATTTTTGAGAAAAAAAGCTGATTATTATTAATTATCCGCTAGAGTTCGTGGTCCGATTGACCAAATAACTTTTGTCAATTAATTAATCTTTACGTAAGGTATTGGCTGCGATAAAAAAGTCAGTGTCACGAGCGGGATTCGAACCCACGACTTTCGGTCTAAATACGCCGCTGCTCTACCACTTGAGCTATCGTGACTTCGACCCATTCGGACACCAACTTCCCATCTGAATCGAATGAATTGAAAAATGGCAAAACAGGAGGGAAAGTTCGAAAGGTGAGGTTGACATGGTGTCCGAGTGGATAATAATTTAAAAAAAATTATTAATTATTATTCCCGAATTTTCCATAGAAATTCGAATGATCTTTTGCTTTGAAGCTAAACGCATCTTAACATTTATCAGTTCTATATACGTTTTATCTCGACAGAAATTAAACTGGGCACTCTCAACACGACACGCAAGAATGGCACAATTACGTAGAAAACAAACACTTTGAGCGCTGAAGATGATCTCAATAGAGATCGAAACGTTGGCACGATAAAAAAATGTTTTTCTGAAACCTACGTCACACCAGACCGTATCTCACGATTTCCGAATATTCATGGACAAACGGTCACTAATCACCACACATTTGTACACGAGAAGAACGAAGAACATGGGATTCTATGAACAAATTTCAACTAAATATGGACACGAAGCAAAAAGTATTCTGAAGGACATCGCCAACAATGAGAAGAAACTCGCATCGGCTATGAATCAGAGAACCTTTTTGTTGATATGCAGACAACACAAGGTATTTCCTACTCACATCAAAAACAATTTTAACTTCTCAAATGTCACACTAACACAACCCAACACCAGAATTAACGACATACAAGCCACAATAAATTTCAAAAGAAACATTTTAAACATAGAAATCACCACGAGCATCAAAAACATTAAGACATTAACACGAAAATAACAACAATTAAAACTCAGTACCGCCAACATAATACCTACAGGCATTTTAATTTTTTTTACAAACATCAAAAAGATGCATATAATTTCCACTTTGACCAAATTAAAAACAAAAACACCAAAAAATTGAACAAATTATTCAACAAACAAACACCTGTTAACACAAACAAATGGTTTCCAGACCTAACAAAAACTAACATTCCTCGAGAAATCCAGAACTTCCTATCACTTGGTCCCAAACATTCCATTTCTTACAACAAAAGGGCACTCTCAACACGACACGAAGGAATGGCACAATTACGCAGTAAACAAACACTTTGAGCCCTGAAGATGATCTGAATAAAGATCGAAACGTCGCACGATAAAGAAAATGTTTTTTCTGAAACCTACGTCACACCAGACCGCATCTCACGATTTCCGAATAATCACAGAAAATTAAAATTGCAAACAGTAGGTTGCCTACAATGTAAATTAGTGAAGATCACCACAGTCAACTATTGGTATTACTGAAGCAGGAAATCGACAATTTTTGTATATCTGATCCGGATCTTTGATTTATTTAAAAATCGTATTATTTGATCGAGTGTTTTTTTTATTTGTAACCCTAGTACATATTACAAATCTGATCACAGTTAGATTTTTCACACTGTCACAGAACTAACACTTAATGCCAGGCGCTGCACCCAGATGGGTATGAGTAACCAGACAATACTGGCACTCAGTCTAAGGGATTACGGGGCAAGGAGGTCTCGAGGCCATCGTTGATTAAGGCAACGTGCCGGGTTCTCGGGATAGGAATGTGAAGAGAATGCAATTGGTGTGAAATTTTTGGAATCGGGAACGGATCGTTGGCAAAAGGATTGTGGAGGTCGTTGTGGTTAGTGACGTAGTAAGGAGCTTTGACGATTCAATTGGAGGATTGGATGCGTTTGATGATGGAAGGCTTGGCAGAACCTCAGTTCCATATGTCCAAAGTGGTCGCAGTAAAACCTTGTGTAAGGTCAAGACAGTAGTTGTCAAAGTCTTCTGCAAGTTGATTACCTTTTAAGTCTTGTGTGGGGATTGCACGTCTGTTTGCTGTCTACATTTCAAGGGAAGTCGGTATCTCTTTATTGTTGATGTACAGCGAAGGGCAATAGTTTCTTCAATGTGAACGTACACTAAGTACATTTTTTCATTCAGTATTGCCTCCAACTTTTTGGACCTGTCTACGATAAGTTCAAGCTGGTCTTGGTTAGGCAGGATTTCAGGAGATGGAATGGGTAGAAAGCGTTTAAGTTTATAAAGCATGCTAGGATGCCTGATCCAATCAAAAGGATGTGCTACTTCTAGGAACTCACCCAAGAAATACACTTTGTGCTCTAGAGCAACTTCGTATCTACTCAATAAATTCCAAAAATATTCCGTTTCTCTAACCATTGCAAGGCAAATTGGAAATAAAGAAAACTAAAACAGTAAAAAAGTAAAATTATGCCTAGTGTTAGCTTACCTTGCTCCGATGAGAATAAAGTTGCCGTCTTTGAGAATCAACCTGAAATAGTCGATGTTGGTGTTGTTTCCGGTGAACCTGTCCACATCGTCAAAACCTGAAACGGAAGATAATAAATTATTACACGGCTGAAAAAACAACGACGATCAAATTAGCAAAACTAGCATTTGATAAGATATACGATGTTTTAAATATGAACATTATTTACGTCAGTTCTGATGGATAACGGTTCTCGAAGTCAACACGGTGACAGTCTCTCTGTCCTCAATTACAGAGCTTGGCAGTGTTGGGACTGACAATGAAACTATTTTCGAAGAAATATGATTTGTAGACATCTTTAAGATAGTATTGCCCTGATGATGACCTTAAAATAGGTCGAAAGCTCGGCAGATAACAATTTAATTTGTTTTTTCATTCAGATAATTCTTTAAATGTCCTGTCCAGAAGTTAAGTAAACAGTTCCTTCGAGGGGACAAGCATGACCCACTGGATCATGAAGGTCCAGGGAAGATGACTAATGAAACCCGGTAAATATTATTGCAACAGGTAAAATTTTATTAGTTGTACTAAAGTAATTCTCCCGATAGAGAACCGCTAAGTTGGGTGTCGCGGACGAGGGGTCACTTTACAATACCTACTACTATTACTTACTTTTATCAAATAATTCTAGAATTAAAATTCCAAGAATCGGCACTCGGGCACTACTGGGTCTGTCTTCACTCGCGGGTTTTTTTGTTTGAGTTATTCTTTCGGCATTACGCCATCTTCAGTGAAAAACGTTTTTAGAGAGAGAGCTTTTCACTGAAGATGGCGTAATGCCGAAACGCGTTTGAATAACTCAAACAAAAAAACCCGCGAGTGAAGACAGACCCAGTAGTGCCCGAGTGCCGGTTCACTTTTTTCGATTCTTGTGAAGTCAAGTTTCTTACATATAGTCTTGATTTCATTTAAATTAAATATAAAAACAAATGATTCTTCTATTAATTCGAGTTTGAGATTGAGGGAAAGGAGATTTTTTAAAATGCAAAATAAACTTTATACTGGGTGTATTCGGATCAGTGTGTAATTCTTAAATGTCATTTATAACAAGACAAATGTAAAATTGATCAAAAATCCGGAATTTTCGGAAGAATTCAAAAATTTGCCTCTCTTTTACAAATACCCTTAGAGACTGTCGAATCCCACAAAAATTTCTTTATTTAATAATCTTTCTAATGATGTATGCATTACTGTGATTGATACTTCTTTGGGAGGAGAAACCGAACTTCAAAGGGGAAGAAACGTGGTCTCGTTTGATGGAAGGGGTTGGAAGTAGTTTATCATTTAATATTCCTTTCCTTTAATTTTAAGGTGGTATTTTAAATAAAAACCAATTTTATGTATTTTTTAAATGCTCAAATCAAATGATTTAATTGTAATTAATTTACATATTGTCTCCTAAGAGCCCAATTATTTTATATTTTATAAAAATACGCATATATACAAGAATTTTACTTTATATGCTTATATTTCATACTGTCCCTCCGGTTTTTTAATGCTTTAAAGAAATGGGTTTATTTGAAGTTAAAAAGGGTTATTTTGAAAAAAAAAATTAACATCAAGTTAAAAAGGAAAAAAGAAAAGCAGGGGAACTAATACGACAGTTCCAAAGAATCGCATGCCCTAAAAAATATTCAAATTAAAAGAATAATCCTTCGCATTTTTTTTTTTTTTACTTAATTCATATAATTTTTATTAAACTTTATGTAAGGCGTTGGTTGAAATGAAAAATTTGGTGTCACGTGAGGGATTCGAACCCACAACCTTCCATATAATTTTTTATCTTTCAACACAATAGACAAGAATGACACATCTACGCGGAAAACAAACACTTTGAGCCCTGAAGATGATCTCAATAAAGATCGAAACGTTGGCACGATAAAGAAACTGTTTTTCTAAAACCTACGTCACACGAGACCGCACCTCACGATCACCTAATAATAATTTTTTATTTTAATTAATTTTTATAGTCTTCTAAGAGCCAAATTATTTTACATTAAAGAAATATTTTATTTTACAATACAATGTTTATATTTCATACTATCTCCTGATTTTTTAATACTTTAATGAAAAGGGCAATTTGAAATTAAAAAGGGTTCATTTAAAGTTTAAAAAAGCTTAACTTGATATCGAAAAAGGTTAATTTGAAATTTAAAGATAGATTTTAATGAGTGAATGCAATTTATTAGCGTGACTGGAGGGTTTTAGCCCCAATTACCCCGAAGAATATGGAGTAATCTGGGGTAGGGTGAATGTTATCCGAACTATCATGTCTTATCTCACTTCCATTTCGTTTATTTATTTTTTTTACGAGGGTTCGCAACAGCAGAAGTCATATAAACCCTCAGGGTGCCGGTGTTTTTGAAAAAAATCCCGTTGTATGTCGGGTTCGAATGCAGGGCTGCTGGATTCGAACACGGGACCTTTACCTTACAGTGAACGCCGTGTCAACGCTTAAACCATTGCGGCCACCGACACCCCCTTCGTTTATTTATTATTTTATCTATAATTCATGAGGATGTGAGGCACAGAAAGGCTAGCAATACGAGAAAAAAAAGAGAATGGATTACCATCCTAACTGGTCTAATTATTATAATTTGGCTGGAGAAGAAGAAATTTATTAGCAGGATTCAAACGTGGGAAAGAGAAGAACAGAAAAGCCAAGAACCAAAAGATAAATACCGATTTTATATATTGTTTAATACTCAAATTAAAAATCCATTTTTTATATTCATTTATATATAATTAATTTTTTATCGCAATTGTCATATGGCTTTATAAGAGTCCAATTATTTCATATTAATCGCAAAATTACAGGAATTTTACTTAACAAGCTTATTTTTCATATTATCTCTGAGTGGTTTATGAAAATCTAGTGCAGGAGTGTAAATTGATCGTGAAAAAACGGTGGATCAAATTAGAGAAATTTCACCTGTGCCAAAATGGAAATTACTACGTTTACTCAGTTGGTGCGAAACTGGCATTGTAGTAACAAATAAACTAAGATAACAAGCAAGGTCCTAGCTAATTACAGGCTGGCAGTGATAAACATGCGTTTATCTTCTTCCACCTGTGAAGAATTCATTACCAAGAGAAAAACCCAATTTCGCTGTTGAGGTACGAAATGAGATGAAAGGAGCAGTAAAGTACACCTCCTTTTGAAAGAAATTAATTAAAAACCACTTCAAACGGGATTTCTCAATGTGTCGATAACAAAATTAAAAAACCGTTTACTCTGTAAAGACACGATAAAAAAAATGTTTTAACCGCGACCAAACAGAATTTTACGAGCCCTTCAGATTAAAAAGAATAAGAAAGGGCGATTATTTTCATTACAAGTCATCTCGTTTTACTCTGAGATTATTGTTGTTCCCTTTTAAAGCATTTTTCCTGAAAAAGGCCGCTTTATTCACCTTAATATATTACAAACAAAATAAGTAAAAAGTATAGTAAATGTTTGTTGGAGCTGCACAAAACTTTTTACATAAACAAGCACATAAGGCAGCGAGGTTAGCCACGACGAAACCACACGACCCCACCCACTCTACACAACCAGCAGATTTACAAACAACAAGTGTTAATAATACAAAAAAAAACGAATGGAGAATCCGCTGGAAAAAAAATAAATATCTAAAATATACAAATGTAAAAAGACATCGGTCCCTGACCTGCGGAGGATAGGTTCATACCAGGTTGCGCATAGGTCATATCAAAATAACACGGACTTAACACAAAGTCAATTAGGGGATTTTGAAAAGATTTTATAATTTTGTTTATTGGAGACAATAATTTTTTTAAACAATTAATACGGTGTAAAATGTCCTTTGTTAGCTAAAACCACTGTGTACCTGTTAGGCATTCTGTTAACAAGGTTGTCACTAATTTAATAAGGAATTTCACTTCATAGATGTCCAAATAAATGGAAACATGCGGTAATGGCTATAATCGAAAAACAGCCACAATCCCGCAAGTTTGGGATCTCGGCGTTCAACTTATTTTGAAAAATAAGTTGTTTTTTTCTGAAAGTACTTTCTCCCTCAAGCATTTCTCGACAAACAACACGGGGGTTGCCAAGCACTCGCCAACATTAAAAAATTTGATATCGGATTTTTGTGAACACCAATCAGTAATTCTGTTCCTCTTTCCAAACGTACCAGAACTAAACTGCTCAAAAATGAATAGGGATATTGAGTTTTGTAGTATTACTTTCCCTGGCATTCCTAATTTATTTTTATTATAAATAGCATTAAAATTTATAAAAAATAATATGTTTTTATTGAAGGGAAATTTAATTAAGGGATTCTGAAAAATAACAAAATAAAAGTTTTTAATTCCATAAGTTTGTTTACTGGAGACGATGAACAGCTCTGCCTCCATAAGGTCTGGGGATTGTCATCCAGAAATGAAAATACCTGACAATGAGATTCCTGGTTCCTGGATGTATTCGAGGACAAAACGGACTGCGGTGAGGTTTCCTGCAACAATAGGTCCAGTTCGTCCTCCACTGTAAATTCCCAGCCCAGACCATTACACCGCCTCCTCCAAACTGCACTGACTGGGGCATTGTACGCATCGCCTGTTCTCGGTAGACTCTTCGGCGCCTGCCATATTCTCATGAGTTTCTGGTGGCGGGCTGTTGATGCAGGTCGTCTCCAAAGGGGCATACGATGCCAGGCCAACTTTCCACAAACGATGACGAATCGTTTGTGTTGATTAAGGTTTTGCCAAAACATCTTGTACTTCATTCAGGATCTGGAGGGCACTATGGAAAGGGTTCCGTCATGCACCAATGACAATATTTCTGCCCTCCCTTAGCGTCGTAATGTGCTGAGATGCACTACCAGGTCTCCTATTGGCACTTCCAGTCCCTCGAAATCGGGCTGAAGTCCGGGAGATCACGCTCTGAGAAGCGCTAACTGCCTCTACGATATCCACTTCCCGGTGTCCTCTATGACTCATTCTAAGTATTGAGAACTTCTGGTTCAAGTTGATGTCTTTCCATGGTTAAAGAGAATACAACTGGATTGTAACGGAGAAAAGACGAAAAAAGTGTTTGTT